TAAGCAACAACTGCATCCGCTGCTTCACACAACTCAATTTCCATCTTGTGCTTCTCCTCGTTCTCTTCGATCGTATATGTCACAGCCGTGGCAGTAGTTTCTTTGAACTTTCCTAGGTCTTCGCAAAAGACGTGTACGAACTGAATCCATTTACATTTTGCAGCTCGTACAATGAGGCACGCTGGAGTTGCAAGTTTTCTGCCGTGACCAATGACAACATCCGGATGCTGAAGCTCGAGAGGTGGAACTTTTAACCAATCCAAAGGATCACGCGATCCGGGAACAGTTTCGGCGGTGATTAAATTTACACCATGTTGTTTGGCGTCTACCCTGTCTCGATCGTCGCTTTGCGAGACATAGCAGTGGATTTTCATGCTTCTAGTCGTCGTTTCTGCCAAGTTAATTGCAAATTCTCGATTTAAAGTTGATAATCCACCCTTTGAAGATTTCCACTCATCACAGAGAAACATAACATCAATAAGCCTCTGTTCTTTCTTCTCATCTTGGCTGCTTGCCGCAGTGGACACACTCGAACACGCCATCGTTAGTATTGCTCCGCTTTCAATTACATTCACTCCTCTAAATTTCACAATCGAAAAACATCTACGTCTGACTCCATCGTGGGCATCTGAGTTTGTCGTCCACGATGTCCCGAAAGTTACAAAATCCCAGCCGAGCGGAAAGACTAGTTGTGCAGCGGCGTGAGACAGTGTCATGTCTGCGGCCGCTCATGTCACTTTGTATTCATTTGACACATCGAACTCACTTCTCTCTCTAACCTTCTCTGCTGAGATTTTTACAGAATAGATTCCTGGAAGTTCTTCGATGTTCTCATCCCCTTTCAGAGGGGATCGAAGTCACTCCTCTCATTGTTGGTACTCTGCTCGGAATTTCACGTATTCTGACCCTGATTCCGAAAAATAAAATATCTTGAGTTATTCGCCTTGTTTTCTCACCTGACTTCTTAGAGTCACCTTGTTTTATTCTTCTTCCCCTTCTTCACTGTGAATGACTTTTATGACAATGAAGCATCAATGAGCATCATTGACTCTTATGCGTGATATCTCTTCCTCAAGTGCAATCATGAAATAAACGCCAGCATACTTCAAATACAGCTTGAGCACATCTTTTCCTTTACTCAACTTTTATCCGAAACCTTCAAATTCATTTCCCTTTTCTGATTGGACAGCGTTAAACGATGACCAGTTCAAATTAATATCTGGCTGGCACATGAGAATCTTGCTACGCATCCCAGATGCTCTAATACTGTGAGTTTTGATTTTATTCGAGTGCTAGCTCCGGTCCGTTTGGTTGGTTTTTCGATTGGAAGGTACGAGGAGAATCGTGAATCGTTTGACCTTATGCTTCGAGGTTTGAAAGAGGAGCGATGCGATTTTCTGGGAAAAATCGCCCGGGCGCTTGAACCCTTTCAAAATAAGGTTTCCACCCTTTTTTATAAGTTGCATTTAACGACGAACTTAAACTCATTCAAAATCGCTCAAAAAGTCATTTTTGAGGCAAAAGGACGACTATACACCACAGGTAAGGCAATTCAACGTTTATTTGTCAATGATTTATATACTTAGTCAGCAATATATCGCTAAAGGTGAGGCAAACGGTAAATCTGGTCCATTCACTATAAAATAACAATCGGCTACAGAAACAGATTGTATGGGCCCCTTGTGTTTAGGGTAGGTTATGTCAATTCAGACTGAGTTACATACATATTCCAGAAGCAATCTATAAATGCAATTAAAAACTAAAAATAAGGGAAAAAAAGGAAGAAGTCTCTAGAAAAAGAAGTTAAGAGGTTATCCCTATATGAAAACTACCTTAAAACTGCAATTAATCAAAATGAAAATTCTTATCGCTCTACTCCAGTTTCCTTTGGTTTCTGCATAGTTAACTATGGTTTCTGAAGAACACATTTGTGTACATTGCTCTTACTTATTTCTTTGTTGATTGTTTTAGCCAAAGCTCAAATGGATGAAATATCGAAGGGAAAGAAAACTAGTTCGGGCGCTCCTAGTGAATCAGGTGTGTACAGGCTGGCCTATAGTGTCTTCGACGAGCATTATCATTCACAACTCTGCTATAATGTTTATACAGGGAGTTCAATGGATGTCTTCTGAAGTGCAGTTTATTTTCGCTTGTTTTGCCGTAGTTAGAAAGAGAGCGCATTCTTCTTAGTAACTCACCCTGTAATGTTTGTAACAGTTAAAATGTCAAAGAAAGTTGCCATACCAGTTAACAATGCATTCCATGCATTGTTAACTGGTATGCCAACTTTCTTGAAGGCAGAAAACAGAGGGTGATTTTCAATAATTTGACTTGCCGGTGGAGAATTGTCAACAAGGGAACAACACAGGGAGAGTCTCATGATAAT